GGGGGGGAGAGGTAATGTCAACTTTTTTTGTACTTACTACACATAAATGATCTACTCAACCAATTGGAAACATCGAAAGCTGGCGCGAGAATCTTATCAATTAACTGTGCTAACCCATCTCTTGCTGATGATATCGCACTCATTAGTACTAGTCCAAGAGCTCCTCAGTGTCTACTGAACATCGCAGGAGAATTAACTCTTCGAAATGCTTTATTATTTCGTTCAAAATGTGTGTCACTAACGTCCCGTGGACATTGAATGGGGATATCATCAAAACTGTGGACTCCGAGGGTCATCTAGGAATTGATGTATCATCTGACCTAAAGTGTTCAAATGCTAAGCCCGTAGAAAAGGGAGAAATATGTTACTTGCTATTTCTCGTATGGGACCAGACTGTGCACACACTAAACCGCTAACATATGTAAACATTTATAAGAAAGCAATACTACCAACCGTATTGTATGGGTCGGATATGTGGAATAACCTAACGGCGAAAGACAAACAACAATAAGATGTATTCCAGCATTACGCAGCAAAAATGATTCTGAATGTGAGGAAATCTTCGAGATCGGATATGTGTGAAAGGTTCTAGACATTAACAGAATTAATAGTGAAATTGAAAAAAGGAAACTAAACTTTCTACAGTGTCTAATTAGTAGCTCGCCAAATAGTACAACAAATGATATCATCATTCGTAGACTCTTGAAATTCTTAGAACATGATGAAAGGTCGAAGAAACAGGGCGGATTCGTGCCAGATATAGTTGACATTCTTCAAAAATACAAATTAACATCGTATATATGTCAAAATGCCGAAGATGGAAACTTTCCAGCACGCGAGTGGAAATACATCGTGAAAGCAGCGATAGATATACGCGAAAACACACTACTGAAAGCAAGAATTAACAGTGATTGTGATTTTAGTCGTTTTAAAAATATACATTTGACATATAATGAACCGTATAATTTGTTAAAGTTACAAAACACGGACAAGAAAGTAATATTATATATTTGCAAAATGATAACCTGTCCACCATTAGAACATAGTTAAATATGTAGCAAGTGTGGGAAACCCTTCCATGACGTAATCAGGCATTTCGTCACGGACTGTAATGTGACATTCCTTTTAAGGGACACTTTCATGGACAACCGTAACTGCTATTGTCTCAAATGGCAGAAGAGGGATTTGTAGTAGCTCTATTAAAAGGAACCATAGACAATCATGATTTCTATAACAAAACTGTGTGCTGTGAATTTGCGCAAGGCAGTGCTTATTTCCTTTGGAAAGCAGCACAGATATATTTCAACGCTGCAGACCTAGCATAATGTAAACTTTAACAGATTGAATGTAAGGGTGAATACACCCTCCCGCAAAGAACAATGATACATTGAACGATAACGAAATATGTATTAACCACAATTTGTACATTGCATAATTTTCTTATTCTTAATTTTGTATTATACACTCTCATTTTTGAGGAATAAAGAATGATGATGATGATGATGATGAGTTCGATGTAAGGATGTAAAGAGACCTCGCCGAGAAGTCACATCAATGTTGTCGGCGCGTTTAGCGGTCTAAGGGAGATAACTCTCCCCAAAATTCACCACACTCTTCCCCGTTTTATGAAAGCCCCCTCTTGAGGTTGGAAGCTGCTGATCAGGAATCATGGATGAGGTGTTTATTTTTGAGCATCAGATCCGGATCTGGTGTTGTTATGATGCTGGAGATGATCGTTCTCTGATGGAGATGGACAAGGTCGGGTCACCCCTTTAGCAGGAACACAGTTTCACCTGCCCTCTAGTGGAAGTTCAGGTCCATACTTCGTATATCTAATTATGTTGAATGGCTTAGTTTTACTGTGCCCTCCTCCAAGGTACAGGCCCATTACAAATATAAACTTTATGGTTGGGCACTGGCATACCGTGCCCTTGCCAGGTACTCAGACATAGTATTTGGATACTATGTCTGAAGTTTCAAAAGTGGAAGAATGCCCTCCACTTGTATGCTAACTGTGACAGGGTGGTGACAGGGTGGTGATAACCGCTCAAGGGACCGATCCCTCACAGTTTCCGGAAACGGTTGAGCAGAAAACGGCTCTGTCTCTGAAGGCTCGGAGGCTGCCTGACAGGCAGAGAACCGTCTCTTTCTGGACATCCGTATTTATAGCTGACTTTAATACTAATAGAGCTTATGATTGAAAACTGTCTTCCAACTGTACAATATGATCCCATTTACATGGGTCACAAAAATACACAGGCATTTTTACTGTTCTTGCTCTTATTACTTAATCTAAGAACACAGCAGTGCCGTGTAACACCAGTCTAGTCAACTTTTGGGGTGCTCTAGTCTGCCGAGCTGTGCCGGTGAGTACCCCACCCGAGTGGGTTACAGTGCTATCTGATTGCTCCGCGACAGTTGAGCGACAGTAGCCATGCTTCTGTAATGGCAGTCCCCCGTCCTTGGCAGAATTTCCCGCCATAGCATCGGGCTTCACTTAAACAGTTTCGCATTTGATATATTCAACTACCAGCGGCTCAGAAGATAAAACGACTTCGACATGTATTTTAAGTCTCTTTGGTTCCGGTAGATAGCAGGATAAGGAAGGTCAAAGTCATAGATTACACCATCATTGACGAGATCTGCCTGTGACGAGGTTGACAGGGGTGGTGAGTGCCCCTCTATGGTAACCCTATCACAACGCCATCTCTGACACTTTCAATGCCGTCTATCCTGGAATAAGATATACGTTTTTGTAGGGTGAGGTCACCTCACGTAGGCCAGTCCACGTGGCGAGCGAGAGGGAACCAGCAAGGTGAAAAATATAAGTAAAAAAATGACAAAATACGTCAGAAATAGCGTCAGTTCGACCACGGAATTAGATTAGCTATCTAAGTCCGTGGTTCGACCACGGACTTAGATAACAGGTCTAATCTAATTCCGTGGTTCGACGACCCCTGATCATCAAATGTCGTGAATTTGGTGTGTCATCACACACCGTCACAACATGTAGTTGAGAGCTGCTCTCAGGTTCCAAAATCTATTAGAATTATCAGTTCGATGTCAGGAGATAACTCTCCCCAAAATTCACCACACCTCTTTCGCTCAAGGTAAAGCAATTTCTTTTACGGTATTTCTTTCCAAGGGGAATAACTCGTCTTACCTTGTATATAAAGCAGACAGTCATCGTTATAAATACACATTGTATGGTAAACAATTATAATATAAAAATTAGAATAAACTTTGCATGTATATATTCCAATGCCGAAAAAAAGTAGTCTACACTATTCCTTCTCAAGGTGTTTTCATTCGATGATTTTTTGCTCAGTTTTACAGCCGAATACAGGCTGTTTCCCCTAGGTAAAAAGTGCCTAATTTCCCATAAATGTGGAATATATTTCTAATTTCAATAAAAATAATGCTATATTTTCTCAATTCATAAAGGAACAGGCTGTTGTAAAACTTAGGTAAAAACAAAATGTATTTAGATGCAGCAAGGTCTAAAGTTATATGCTAATACATAAATGGAACAAATTATGTTCATGATATCATCATCTCGTATAGTATCCTGTGTAGAAGTGAAACGTTAACGTCGAAGTGTATATACCTTGACCAAAAGAGGTTAGCAATATATTACCAACTTCAAATCTAAAGAACGTGTCAAATGTATGTATGGTTGATGTATGGTTTGAGTACAATAGTCAATCATCGACACACATCATGAGTCAATGTTTTGGTTATAAACAACACAAATATAGATATCTACGTGATATTTGACCTACAACAGTTATAGTGATTTCACAACAATCATCCCACTCATTCTCGCTCACTGTTATCTGTGACTCAGTCAACACCAGACTGCCATTATAGCGCGAGTGACAGATTATTTATACCAAACCAAATATAGACAGCTCATTTGCATACTATTCAATCCATAAGGGGATGGATTACGCATATTTCAGCCAATCATCTTGTTCGGTACGCACAACTCTCGTCGCTCGTACGGTCAATGAACATTCCGAAGATTTTTCTTCTTGCAACAGAGAATATGATTGGTCGGTACATTATACCTTGTAAACAACATATACTCAAAGCGTTTGTTAGACCCTGGCGGTCGACAAGACTTTTTCCGAAACCGAAATCGCTATCTTGCCTGAATGAAGAACGATTCGACTTGAAAAGAGTTTGGATGTTTTACATCAGTGTTTGACCAAAGTGAGTGACAGCGCCATTTAGTCTCCGTCTGTAGGACGATAGAGACCTAGGCATAACACTTAACATTGCAAATATGGACGTTTTACCGAGTGGAAATATATTTCGGGAATTACAAGTGGTCCATGATACCGGGTACTTCTCCGCTCAGCCGTCATTGGAGGACCGATGGCAACAGGTATGTCCCTCTCACGCACAGGAAACTAATACGGAATGAAATAGCATACTTATGGTGACTTGTTTTTGTAAAAAGTTTTCACAAAAATAGACACACGTCTGATTTTCTATGATGGCGTGCGAACACTTTCCCTCTGGGTTATTATCTTTTTGATAGGCCAATAAAGATATGACATCTGTCAAATACGTAAGATATTCATTTATTAGCCTCCGGCCGAAATAATTGACGACTGTAGTATACACACTTGTAGAGTTCTGAATATTTAGTTCGATATTTGACATTCGGTGTGTTACACTGTGCGTACAGGAAATCCGCTAGTTGTCTGAATGACATCATGTTTAGTATCCTGTGTCGTGTACTGCATGCCATGTGTAGAAAAAGACGTATATACAGGAAATAGTTTCTCAACAGTTAAGCATTTATGTTAAACTGTACTAATCTACTATGCATTTTCCATCGTACACTATAAGTTGTTTCCACACATATATATTGCATTGGTGGAGTGATATCGACCAGCGTCAGTATTGATTTGGTCCAGTAACGTTATTGTAGTGTACTACAGTGTTGTGTATCTGTTGCACATACAACATTGTTGCAAAATAAATGCCGCATTCTTATTCAATGCTTACAGCAAAACCTAAGATACAAAAGTAGAAAGTATCATTAACAGTGTTATACAAATAAAACTACATGTTACAGAAATGTAACAATTATATTTATACAGACATGATATAGAAAAATGTCAGACACTGTATGAAGAAAGAAACACAGATCATGAGATTGATGTCAGACAGAAACATAGACCACAAGATGTATGTCAGAAACTTGATGAAGACAGAAACACGGATCAAAAGATTGATGTCAGACACTTGATGTAGACTGGAACATAGACCGCGAGATTGATGTCAGACACTTGATGTAGACAGAAACACAGACCATGAGATTGATGTCAGACACTTGATGTAAACTGGAACATTGACCGCAAGATTGATGTCAGACACTTGATGTAGACAGAAACACAGACCGCGAGATTGATGTCAGACACTTGATGTAACATAGATCACGTAATTGATGTCAGACACTTGATAAAGACAGAAACAGGCCACAAGATTTATGTCAGACACTTGATGTAGACAGGAACATACACCACGTAATTGATGTCAGACACTTGATGTAGATACAGGAACATAGACCATGAGATTGATGTAGACAGGAACTCGGACCACAAGATTTATGTCAGACACTTGATGTAGACAGGAACATACACATGAGATTGATGTCAGACACTTGATGTAGACAGGAACATAGGCATGAGATTGATGTCAGACACTTGATGAAGCCAGGAACATAGACCATGAGATTGATGAAGACAGGAACTCGGACCACAAGATTTATGCCAGACACTTGATGTAGACAGGAACATACACCACGTAATTGATGTCAGACAGTTGATGTAGATACAGGAACATAGACCATGAGATTGATGAAGACAGGAACTCGGACCACAAGATTTATGCCAGACACTTGATGTAGACAGGAACATAGGCATGAGATTGATGTCAGACACTTGATGAAGCCAGGAACATAGACCATGAGATTGATGTCAGACACTTGATGTAGACAGGAACATAGACATGAGATTGATGTCAGACACTTGATGTAGAAGGAACATAGACATGAGATTGATGTCAGACACTTGATGAAGACAGGAACATAGACCATGAGATTGATGTCAGACACTTGATGTAGACAGGAACATAGACCATGAGATTGATGTCAGACACTTGATGAAGACAGAAACACAGACCATGAGATTGATGTCAGACACTTGATGAAGACAGGAACATAGACCAGAAGATTGATGTCAGACACTTGATGAAGACAGCAGATGAGGATCTTCATCATATATGGAGCTCTATACAAGTGCACTATCTTTGTCATTTGAGCTGGGAAATAAAACCTTGTTTGTCAGGTTCAGAAATAATTTCTTTGAAGCTATTAGTGCACTTGACTGCTAAATGGCAAAACACCTAATTTGCTTTCTAGGTTGGCATTTCCAATTGACATTTTCAGAGTTATCATTCAAATAAGTGATTTCCTGCCATTCGAATATAGCAATAAAATGTATTCTCCTAGTTTTTGTTATCATGAAATCCTTTCAATGATAGATAGATTAGAGTGAATATGAAACAGGCAATTTGAAGCTAGCCTATTAAAAAGAATGAGCTTTAATTAGTGGATCAGCTCCAAGCCTTTATTCTGAAATGTCAATAAAGGAGTCCTTTATTTGCATATTTAGAATGTTTCATGATCTAAGTTATTTATTAGTGCGTAGGTAACTAAAGCACAGAGTTGCTAGTGCTTTTGCCAATTAATATGGGTTTATCATGATCAGGCAACTGATTTTTATGATGAAATAGTCAAAAGTACACATGTTAAGGACATCGTCTAATGACGTCACGTTTACAATAAACTGTGGTAAAGTACACATGTTAAGGACATCGTCTAATGACGTCACGTTTACAATAAACTGTGGTAAAGCACACATGTTAAGGACATCATCTAATGACGTCACGTTACAATAAACTGTGGTAAGGTACACATGTTAAGGACATCGTCTAATGACGTCACGTTTACAATAAACTGTGGTAAAGCACACATGTTAAGGACATCATCTAATGACGTCACGTTACAATAAACTGTGGTAAGGTACACATGTTAAGGACATCGTCTAATGACGTCACGTTTACAATAAACTGTGGTAAAGCACACATGTTAAGGACATCATCTAATGACGTCACGTTTACAATAAACTGTGGTAAAGTACACAGGTTAAGGACATCATCTAATGATGTCACGTTACAATAAACTGTGGTAAAGTTCACATGTTAAGGACATCATCTAATGACGTCACGTTTACAATAAACTGTGGTAAAGTACACAGGTTAAGGACATCATCTAATGATGTCACGTTACAATAAACTGTGGTAAAGTACACATGTTAAGGACATCGTCTAATGACGTCACGTTTACAATAAACTGTGGTAAAGTACACAGGTTAAGGACATCATCTAATGATGTCACGTTACAATAAACTGTGGTAAAGTTCACATGTTAAGGACATCATCTAATGACGTCACGTTACAATAAACTGTGGTAAGGTACACATGTTAAGGACATCGTCTAATGACGTCACGTTTACAATAAACTGTGGTAAAGTACACATGTTAAGGACATCGTCTAATGACGTCACGTTTACAATAAACTGTGATAAAGAACACATGTTAAGGACATCATCTAATGACGTCACGTTACAATAAACTGTGGTAAGGTACACATGTTAAGGACATCGTCTAATGACGTCACGTTTACAATAAACTGTGGTAAAGTACACAGGTTAAGGACATCATCTAATGATGTCACGTTACAATAAACTGTGATAAAGTACACATGTTAAGGACATCATCTAATGATGTCACGTTACAATAAACTGTGGTAAAGTTCACATGTTAAGGACATCATCTAATGACGTCACGTTACAATAAACTGTGGTAAAGTACACATGTTAAGGACATCATCTAATGATGTTACCTTCGCAATAAACTGTGATCGACAATGCATCATTATAGAAATATGGAAAAAGAAAGTAATCAAGTTGTACATTATCAAAAGCCAACATATACAACAGTACATGAACATTACTTTCTTTTTATCATGTTTTATATCCAGGGAAGTTTATCACAGTTTTGTGTAGTAAATGTATTGTGACATCTAGATCTACAGATGACGTCCCTGATATGTGACAGTGTACTTTTAACTACAACATCATATTAAAAATCAGATGAACTCTTAAATTACTAGCTAGCACGGCTGCCATCCTAGTTTGTTTATTTTCATTGTACCCATCACACCAACACTATTTTATTTATTTTTATATTTAATAATTTCCGCTATTACTTTCTTTTCCTATATATTGTGTCGACAACATCACAGTTCTTCCTTTTATAAAATGCTTACTATCTGTTATAGGAAGATACAACAGGTTCCTTTTATCTTTGGTAAAGTTCACACTTACAAATATTTGAGATAACCATCTTTAGAGTAAAAGGGGAATAAAAAAATGGCTGAGGAAAGGGCATAACTAATGATACTCTGTGCTGGCAAACTGTCAATTTATCAGGCTGTACAATTTATAGGTAGGCATGCTCTGGAGATCTGAAGGCAAGTCAGACTCTGGTAACAAAATAGTACACTGACAAACACTTATAGCTAGATTCTGGTCAAAATAGTACAAACACTGACGAACACTTATAGCTAGATTCTGGTCAAAATAGTACAAACACTGACGAACACTTATAGCTAGATTCTGGTCAAAATAGTACAAACACTGACGAACACTTATAGCTAGATTCTGGTCAAAATAGTACAAACACTGACGAACACTTATAGCTAGATTCTGGTCAAAATAGTACAAACACTGACGAACACTTATAGCTAGATTCTGGTCAAAATAGTACAAACACTGACGAACACTTATAGCTAGATTCTGGTCAAAATAGTACAAACACTGACGAACACTTATAGCTAGATTCTGGTCAAAATAGTACAAACACTGACGAACACTTATAGCTAGATTCTGGTCAAAATAGTACAAACACTGACGAACACTTATAGCTAGATTCTGGTCAAAATAGTACAAACACTGACGAACACTTATAGCTAGATTCTGGTCAAAATAGTACAAACACTGACGAACACTTATAGCTAGATTCTGGTCAAAATAGTACAAACACTGACGAACACTTATAGCTAGATTCTGGTCAAAATAGTACAAACACTGACGAACACTTATAGCTAGATTCTGGTCAAAATAGTACAAACACTGACGAACACTTATAGCTAGATTCTGGCCAAAATAGTACAATCACTGACATTAACACTTATAGCTAGATTCTGGCCAAAATAGATGAATGGCAATATATAAACCTGATTATGAGCCC